GGTGCTGCAGGTCCCCGGAGCGGAGCCCACGCCCCCCCGGTGGCGCCGCGGCCTTCTCCGCCTTGGCGCCTCCGTGGGGCCCTGGCATCGCTCGGACGTGTGCGCCTTTCTCCCTGCAGGAAAGCAAAGGGTACGGAAAGAATGGGTGCAGCATTGTTATTCGGCATTGTACCAATTTCTCCCGTACCCATTTCGGGCGTCCAAATTCTCGGCGAGGGTCAAGTCTGGCATGCCTTTCTACAGCAGGAATGTTCGGAAATTGTCAACAAATTTCAACCAATGGTCCAGAGACGATGTTTCATATTTTTTGTTTGACCTTTTCGTGGACATGTCTGAATATGTGTCGTTTGTCTTCAAGATCCGCCTGTAGGATGACATGCCCGACCTCAGGCGAGGGCCATCGAGGAGCATCCTGGATCATCTGGCCCCAAAGTGGCACGCACGAGACTGAAGAGTGCACGAGGAGTGGATGTCCGAGCGATGATAAGAGCCCCTGCCTCCACGAGAGGGAGTCTGACGTTGGGCTCGGGCTGAGATGTTCCAACCCACATTCGCCTTGGTCACCGGAAAGGCTTCCAACATCAAGAAAGTACCGAAGTTGAAGGGTTTTCACGTGTCGGGCCCTGGGAGGCTATATGCTCGTTCGACACTTCGATACCTATCGTATCGGGCATACGCTGCTTTTTATACTTTCAGGAGAGGAAAAACAAACAGACGCAATCAATCGTCGACTCCAAGGAAATAATGGGAAAATGCGGGAAGTGGGGGTAAGACAAAAACCTAGAAAATATAGCATAATATGGGGAATCCTGTTATTCGTATCTATTTATTTGTGTGTCCCAGGGCCCCTTCATACTGTTCTGGGCGTTCGAAATGATTTTTAGGATGTAGTCCTGTAAGTACGCTGGGAACAAGATGAGGCTCGGGGGGTTCATGTCTTCGGCGGCAGCGATAAGGGGGATGTGCTCAGGGGGGAGCGCACCGACCCCCGATCGCCTACTCATCGCCGAGAGGGGCCTGACAGCCCCAGCCTGCCCGGGGCCGCATGCACTCGCTATCGGGGGCGCGGAGGAGGAGGAGGTGGAGGAGGAGGAGGTGGAGGAGGAGGAGGAGGAGGAGGAGGAGGAGGTGGAGGAGGAGAAGGAGGGAGGAGGGAGGAGGGAGGAGGAGGAGGAGGAGGAGGGAGGAGGAGGAAGGAGGATTTTTTTCCGTCATCGGTCCCAAAAGGGCAGGAACGAGGGGCCACAGTTGGCCAGGGCCGCGGTTGGCCCGCGCGCGGGCGCCCCGCGGGTCGCGCCCGGGGCGCCGCCGGCGCGCTCACACCTTGGCCGAGGCAGGCCCAGGTACCATCACCTACCAACCCCCTCCCCCGACCCCCGCGGGCACGGCCTCGCGGGGGCCAACGGCCAGGGATGGAGTCGGTCGGTTCCTAGGTACCCCGGGCCTGCCCCAAACGGGCCACGACACGACGGACGACACGACAGCGACGGCGACGACACGACGCGGAGGACGGGCCACCAGGCACGACCCCAACACGGCGAACCGGGGAGGAGGTCCCGGCCGTGCTGGGGGCTGCGCACCCGGCGACCCCCCGGGGGAAGGGGACCGCGCTTTGGCGGCCAAGCCACCGGGTGCGGGGGCTTGGCGCCCCGGAGGTCCAGCGCTCCCCGCCTGCGCCAGAGGGCTGAACAGCCCGACCCCACTCTTGGGGGCCCCCCCGGGGCAGGAGGAAGGAGGAGGAGGAGAAGGAGGAGGAGGAGGAGGAGGAGGAGGAGGAGGTGGAGGAGGAGGAGGAGGTGGAGGGGTCGATGTTCCTCCCCTGAGCTGGTCCCTTGGCGGTTTGGCGGTCGCACCTCGGGCCTCCAGCGGCCGTCCGGGACGAGCGGGGCAGCCCTGGACGCCCGGCCGCTGGAAGGCGTCCCGAGGCTGGTCGGGTGGGGCTGGGACTGGGTCGGGCCTGTCCCTCTACTCGGGTCGGGCGAAAGGGGGGGATTGGGAAATGGGGGGGTTACGAAATTTGCTGCATGCAGCTGGTTTCGGCCTCACCGAAGGGCCAATTCCTCGATACATGGCCGCTCCCGGCGCCGGGAGGCGCTGGAAAAATCAGCTACGTGAGCTGATTCTCAAACCCCCCCTTTGCTATCCCCCCCTTTCGCCCGACCCGATACATGACGAGCGAACAGCACACACCCATACCCACAGGGGCGGTCGTTGGGAGGAGGGCTCGCTATGGGTACGGGTGCGGGTTGTCGGACCCTGGGGAACGCTCCCGTTGGAGCGGGGACCCCCATCCGACAACACGTACCCACAGCCCTCTCCGACCCCCCTATGGCACGATGGGTATGGGTGTGTGTTGTTGGTTCGTCACTACAGGGGGGGGATATTCAAAATACTCTAAAAATAGTCTGGGGACGATTTTGTTCACCATCTGTGAGCAGGTTTTGCATATGTTTGGTGCATTTTTCTCTTAATTGTTTTCCAAATCCGTTCAACCGCGTTCCAGAACGCTCTCAGAGCGTTCGGGTTCGCTCGGAGAAGGCCGCGGCGCCCGAGACATCCTCCAGACCCGCCGGATCTCAGAGATTCTCAGCCGATTTTCCTCACCGATTCTATCCTGAACCAGCGCCGAGATCCGACGAGGGCGCCCGAAAACCTCGAACCCCGCACCTCCAGCTCGATGTGTCCCCCCCCGCCCTGGGCCCGTCCGCCCCTGTCGTTGCCCCCACCAGGTCCGGCATGGGGCTCGGGAGGGAGGCCTGCCGGCCATCCCCGCCCGGGAGACGGTCCAGACGATCTAGCCTGCCCCGGCTTTGGGTCCAGAAGGGCTGGGCATGTTCGGCTGACAGGGAGAAGGGGGAAGAGCGCCCGCGCGCCGCCGCGGAGGAGCGCGTGGCAACGAGCGCGTGGCGCCGAGTGGACCCCCCCCACGGCGCGCCCTCAAGCGCTCTCCTTGTCGGCCTCGCAGGCCTCCCCCCCACCAGACATCCGCCGATCGAGTAGGGGATCGACTACAGAGCTGATTTCCCCAAGGTTGATTTTCCCGTCGGGCTGATTTTCCCGTCGGGCCCACGAGAAACAAAATACTTAGACTGTTCAGTGGATCGACGGAGCCTTGTAGTTATGTTTCCTAGATTCGATTCGGGGATCGACTATGCCTCCTAGATTCGAGTCGGGATCGACTACAGAACTGATTTGCCCTAACATAGATTCTCTCGTCGAGCCCAAAAGAAAATTGTATGAATTAGTCAGTAGATCGACGAAGCACTGTAATCTTGTTTCGTAGAACTCGGCGGGAAATCAATTTTGGGGTACATCGATTATGCAGTCCATCCCCTACTCGATAGCTGGGGTCGGAGTACACGGGGTTGGAGGATCGCGCCGCATCCCCGATGCATCGGCGATGTGGCTCGGTGCGGGGCCCGAGTTTCTCCACACTGACGTTGCCGATGCTTCGCCGATGCGTCGCCGACGAGGGCGATGCATCGCCGATGTATCGCCGATGCGGTGCGATCCTCCGAAACCATTTATTCCGACCCCAACTACGCGACTTCTATGAGGGGTTAGGGGGCTATCAGGTGATGCCAAAGCAGGTCATGTCTGGCCTGGCCTGGCTTCTGACTGGGTCACACGTGCCCTGCGTGGCTACGGGTGCTGGCGATCCGTGCGAAGTGGGTTCCGGCCATTTGGCGGAGTCACGTATACCCCCCCTCAGCCACGTGGGACAGTCGTAACCCACTCATAAGCCAGGTCCGGCCCGATGTGGCCCATCTTGATATACGCTGATCGCCCAGCTGTCCCCGTCGTGAAGCCCGCGCCTATCCATTCCCCTCGGCCAGTCAGTGTTTCGCCCTGGGTCCATGTTTGATCGGCCTCGGGCCCGAGGAGGGGCCCCCGCGGGGCCGAAGCTGAGGAAGGTCGCCCCGATTGCAGTGATCGTGCCGTCGTCGGGCGTGGCGCAAGGAGGGGGCGATGACCAGGGGCTGGGGTGACCCCGAACGGTGTTCTGGCGATTTCGTGGGCCGTTTTCGTTGCGACGTCGTTTTTTGAAGCAGAGGCGGATTCAAGACAAAACGAGGGGCAACGAGCACAAAACGAGCACGAAAGACACTGTCCACGTCGAGACCTGACCAGAGGGGGTGGGGCAAGGTGCAGCTTCTGTGCCGCAAGGGGCACCCAAGGGGCCCATCTGGGGCCCCAGGAGGGGTACGGAAGGTGCACGCTCCTTCGCCCCACCCAAATCTTCGGGGGCGGCCACGAGGGCGGTCGATGACTCGGGGTGTGTGGACGTCATGGCGGGGGCCGTAGTATATCTCTCCAGATTTCATGGTGCCTCTGCCTATCTCAATACATCTCCGCCCCCCCCCCTTTGGGCCGCGCACGTGCCGCCGGCCATGATTTGCGCCACCCTCCCCCATCCCCCCCAATCTTGGACGCTCCCGACATTTGGGCAATGCGGAAAAAAGGGTCGTCTGTGCCGAGATTGGCGCGTAAGCTGCCCGCGCAAGCTCGCGCGTAAGCGCCCTCGTCTTCATTGTGGCGTGTTGCGCTGGCGGCCCACGGAAGCCGGCGCGTAAGGTCGCCACGTCTGTTTTCGGCGGCGAGCGCGGGGGGGAAATTGAGAAGGAGAAGGCCTCCTCAGAAGGCGGCGGGACTTCTCAGAAGCTCTCGCGCCTTCTGAGACGTTATCTTGGTCTTCGGAGAAGGCTTAGAAAACTTCTCGGAAGGCCAGGGGACGTTCGAGCCTTCTGAGAAGGCTTTCTCCTTCTCACTTCCCCCCCTCGCTCGACGTTTCTGATCGTCGCTCGGTCCATCCTTGGCCACTCTCATTGGCCGCGCCCCGCTCGAAAAGCTTCGAAACGGCTGGCCTCCCAAGGCCCTTGCGTTCTCATCGTGTATCCGTATGGCACGGGTCGGCTGAAAGACCCGCTTCTGATCGTCGTTCATTTCTCGCCCTCCCAAATAGCGCAACGCCCGAGTCGGCGACCCCGGTCCCCCGCGAGGCCATCCAGACGGGGTGGTGCTTCACCGACGGGGCCCTGCGCGCCGGGAACTGCATCATCGTGGGGAACGTAGGCGCCGCGGGCGGGGGATGAGCCCTCGACCTCCTCCTCCTCCTCCTCCACCACCTCCTCCTCCTCATCATCATCATCCTAATCCTTATTATACCTCTCTCTTTCGTCCTCCTCCTCCTCCTCCTCCTCCTCATCCTCCTCCTCTTCCTGATAAACATCATCATCAGCATCAGCAGCATCATCATCAGCATCATCATCATCACCATCATCATCATCATCAGCATCATCATCATCACCAATATCAACATCAGCATAATCAGTATCGTCGTCGTCATCATCGTCGTCATCATCATCAGCATCATCGTCATCATCATCCCTCCCCCTCTCTTCTTCCTTCTTCTCCTCCTCCTCTTCGTCCTCCACCCCCTCCGCACCTTCGCCCGTTGCCGCCGCCGTCGCCGTCGTCGTCGTCTCGACGCCACCGCTCTCTTCGAGGGCCCCCTCGAGGGCCTCGAGAGCCCCCTTCGCTCCTCCTCCTTCTCCGCGGGTCCGCGTGCCACCGCCGCCGCCGCCTGTGCGCGCGCACGCCACCCCCGCCGCTGCCGACCCAAGAGTGGCACTGCCACGGGTAGCACGGGGGAGAAGGGAGGATGAGGAGGTCCTCCTCCTCTTTCGCTTCCTTCTCCTCCTCCTCCTCCTCCTCCTCGTATTTCTACTCCTCAACCTCCTCCTCCTTCTCCTCCTCCTCCTCCGCCTCTGCCTCATCCTCCTCCCCCTCCCACATGTGGTAGCAGTGGAACAACTAGCACTAAAGGGGACCTTTAGGGCACCCTTTGGAGCCAGCAGGGGTCTTCCCCCCCCGTTTCGGTCATCCCCCATACGACACCCACCCGCAACTAACCCCGCTTGGACCCAGCACCGACCCAACAGACCCGCGCGGACCTTTGCGAGCTGATGCTCGTATGATTGGGGGAACGCTCCTTCTCCTCCTCCTCCTCCTCCTCCTCCTCCTCCTCCTTCTCGTCCTCGATCCTTCTCCCCTTCTCCTCCTCCTCCTCCTCCTCCTCCTGCTCCTCCTCTTCTTCTTCTTCCTCCTCCTCCTCCTCCTCCTCTTCCTCCTCCTCCTCCTCCTCCTCCCCCACGGCGAGGAGCCGCCCAGGACCCCGCGGGGCGGCCCTCCCCCATAGAGAGCTACTCTGAGGACCCGTGCCGAGAGACGCCCTGCTGGCCTCAAGGGTGGCCTGAATTTTCTTGGGTGTGATGGATGGTTATGTTGTGGAAGCCGCGACGCCCACGCCAAAACTCTATGTCAGTCCTGGGGTGTCGGGGTTGGGTGGGCTTCTTGCGGAGGGTTTCTTGTGGACTGGCTTCCAGTCGATGTCGAAGAAGAAGAACCTGAATGAGCATAGTCTTTGGGAGCTCCGCTTGACTTTCTTGGATCGGCGCTGGAGCCCCCCCTGGCGGCGCCTCCGGCGCCGCCCCTGGTGCGCCCCGCGCGCCGCGGAGGGGGGTCCCACGCGGATCGAAGAATTCCGTGCGGGCTTTCTACGTTTGTGCTGTTGTTCGTCACCAGCCTCGAACGTATCCCTGTCCCTAAGATTGACACGCCCAAAGGCGATGACAATCTTAGGGATTCGCCCTCAAAAAAGAAGGGAATCCCTAAGATTGGCATCGTGATGAGGAGGTGCCCAGCATAGGGATAGGGATATGCTCCAGGCTGGTAAGTTCGTCCTCCTAGATCCCCGCTGTTTGTTCCGCTGAAGCTCGGGTCGGCCGCCGCCTTTTCACGGGCCGCTTCTCGTGGGGTGCTCACAGCGAGGTCGCGTCAAAGCTCGGACCCTGACGGCCCCGTCAGGGCAACCCGACTCCCCGGAACTTGGGACTTACGTCTCTCGGACTTTACACTGAAAATTGATAGCAGTGACGGGTAAGCTTCCCAAGGACACCTTTGCGTCCTTAGATTCGTTCGGCAGTGCGCCGCTAGCAGAGCTTCGACTGGGGCGTCCAAGTGTAGGAGGCCACATGCGATCCCTACCCCTTCTCCCCCACGGTTTCTGAGGGGGAGGGTGGGGTTCACTTCGTTCAGAAGCTCCCGAGCGAAGTGAACCCTAACCTTCCCCCTCAGAGATCGTGGGGGGCAGGGGTGAGTTCCGTGGAAAAAAACACGCGCTGTGGAAAAAGCACACACACACACACTGTGGGAAAAAAAAAAACAGACTGTGTGAGTTTTTTTCCCGCAGACTGTGTGTGTGTTTTCCCACAGTGTTTTTTTCCACCGTGTGTGTGTGTGTGTGTTTTCTCCCACGTGTGTGTGTGTGTGCTTTTTCCCCACAGACTTGTGTGTGTGTGTTCCCACAGTGTGTATGTTTTTCCCACAGGCAGGGGTGAGTTTCGCACGTGGCCCCCCGAAAGGACCGTCCAAGGGTCTCGCGCCCTCACGGCGCGTCCTCGCTGCAGCAGGTGGTGGCTGTGCAGGCACGTCGTGCTTGCTGGCCGAGGGACCGCCTTGGGGTCCGAAGGGGTTCGGGCTTGCTGGCAGCTCCTGAGACCCAGGCTCAAGTCGGGCGTGCCCCCCTACAGGAGCACTATTCAAACATGCTCCAACAATAGCCTGGGGACGAGTTTTCTTGCATGTGTTGAGCAGTGTGTGCGTATGTGTGGGCTATGTTTGATTTCTCCTCCAAAATCTGCCTGTAGGGGGACATGCCCGACCTAAGCGTAGGTCGGGGAGTCTATACGTGGCGGAGGTTCGCCGTGGCCAGAAACAACAAAAAAGCCTGTTCACTCCTTAGTTGTCGTCCCAGGTGGTAGCGCGACGACTGTACCAACGCCATGCCATCGCGTGCTGAGGAGCGCAGCGGCGGATGGTCCCATCGCCTAATGATGTCCCAACCTGCTTTAGCCTTGATCACCAGAAAATATCGAGCACCTAGGAAGTACCGAAACGGGGGGGGTTCACGTGTCGGGCCCTGGGAGGCGATACGCGCTCATCACTGTTTCGATACTTTCCTGGGTGTCCGAAATTGAATCTGGGAGGTGGTCCTGAAGTGCGATGGGAGCGAGCAGAATAGCCATCACCACGCGGTCGCTGCCCCAGTCCTCCTCTCTGTCTGAGCTGCATCCTCTCCCGCCCTCCCCTCCTGCCGCGCCAGGCCTGCCCAGAGAGACCAACTGCGACGCCTCTACCTCCAGGGCTGCCGAACAACCGGAGGATACAGTGAGCGGCCTGAATAAGGAGCACTCCCTCGTCAGAAGGGGACTCGGTCGTTCCTTAGGCTCGCATGCCTTATGCATCGTTCCCTGTGCGCTATTCCTTGGGAATAAAGAGGTTGTCGTTCCCTATTGATCGTTCCTTAGCTCAGGCCGATGACTGTACCCTCAGCGGAGCACGCAGGGCGGCGGCGGCGGAGCGCCCAGGCCCTGGCGTCGTGCTCCTGCCAGAACACAGTGCGGGCCTCGGAAGTCTCGACCCATCTCCTCCTCCTCCTCCTCCTCCTTCTCCTCCTCCTCCTCCTCCTCCCCTTCCTCCTCCTCCTCCTCCTCCTCCTCCTCCTCCTCCTCCTCCTCCTCCTCCTCCTCCTCCTCCTCCTCCTCCTCCTCCTCCTCCTCCTCCTCCTCCTGGAGCGCGAGGCGTCGTTGACAGTCCCGCGGCACGGTGCGAGCCCCCGAGGGCCGAACCCGGCGAAGAGTGGCTAGCCGTGATTCGTGCTGCGGGCGCTGCGGGGGGCTCTGACTGCGTGGGCGGGGGGTGGCGGAGCAGGAGGGCGCGGCCGCTGCGGCCTGGAGGTCCGGCCGTGCCTCCCCCGCACGTAGGCCACAACTGCGCCCGCACGGGCTGCGAGTTCGTGCGCAAGAGCGGCCTCTACGCGCTGTGGCAGTTCGAGGAGCCAGGGAAGGGGAAAGGGACGGGGATGGCGATGGCGATGATGGCGATGATGGCGATGATGGCGATGATGGCGATGATGGCGATGATGGCGATGATGGCGATGATGGCGAAGATGGCGATGATGGCGATGATGATGATGATGATGATGATGATGATGATGATGATGATGATGATGATGATGATGATGATGATGATGATGATGATGATGATGTTGATGCTGATGCTGATGCTGATGCTGATGCTGATGCTGATGCTGATGCTGATGCGGATGCCGATGCGGATGCGGATGCGGATTCGGATGCGGATGCGGATGCGGATGCGGATGCGGATGCGGATGCTGATGCTGATGTTGATGCTGATGCTGATGCTGCTGAATATGACGATGTTTCTGATTATGATACTGCTGATGCTGATGTTGATGCTGCTGATATTGATCATGATGTTGATGCTGATGTTGGTGATGATGATGCTGAGGTTAATGCTGATGCTGCTGCTGCTTATGATGATGGTGCTGGTGGTGATGATGATGGTGATGATGATGACGAGGAGGAGGAGGAGGATCATGATAATATTGATGATGACACTGACGACGATTATGACGACGATGATGACGATGACGATGACGATGGCGATGACGATGACGATAATGATGATGATGATGATGATGATAATGCTGGTGGTTGTGATGATTATTATGATGAAGATGATGATGACGATGATGATGAGGATACATATACTGATGATGATTATGTTTCTGTTGATTATGATGATGATGACGAGGACGAGGACGATGCTGATGCGGATGATGATGATGATGTTGATGATGATACTGTTGCTGCCGATGATGATGATGATGTTGCTGCTGGTGGTGATGCTGGAAGTGATACTGATGCGGATGCTGATACTGATGCTGCTGCTGGGGAGCCGCCGCAAGTGAGCGACGCTTGTCAACGGGTCTTACGCGAGATGGCATAACGACCGTGCGCGGCGGCTTACGCGGGCCGCCGGCGCGGCACGCCACATTGGAGACGAGGGTGCTTACGCGCGAGCTTACGCGGGCAGTTTGCGCGCGAACGTCGGCGCCGACGACCCCGTTTCTTGG